TGATGTATCGTTTCGCCCGAAATACTTTCTATTCTAACGAATCATCAATAAGTTTCAGTACTATGCTACACCCCAAACAACACAACTTTTGATTCGAAAGAAAAAAGGGTAGACACCAAAATAAGTGTGAAAATAACGGGCTAAGAGCTATTAAACTGACAACTGTGAGAGACAACAATGATAATTCCTACCGATCACTCCGAATAAAACCTATGCGGTTTCAAGGATTCTCAGAATTACTGTTATGGAAGTTATAGCACTATCACTCTCAATGTGAGTGATTTGTGATCTGTTGTATCAAGTTCATAAGTAGTCTGAACAGATACTACCATTTGTAACCAATATATCGTAGACTCTGATACTAAAGAACCAAGGCTTGTCTAATCCTGATCAGAATGTTAAATGAGAGGAAATTATGACGAATATCTGTATTAGCAGCTCATTTACACATCTCTGAGGCATTATAGTGTTGAGAAAATGGCAAACAACTACAGAAAACCGGTCTAAGTCTTTATGTAACGTTCAGATTGTTTTAGGTTTGTGTCTAACCTGAAGATATCTTGTATATTAAGGAAGCTTGAGAAACAGAATTTGTGTAGGTCGTCAACGTGGGCTGTTTTTCGACGATCTGGGCCTACTCGAGTTGAATGGGGAAGATAAGACCCTCTGATTTACGTCGAAGTCAAAGTTCGCAGTCACTGCTGAACCTGGATTATGCGATCATGATAACCAGGTGAAAGGATTTCTTAAGTAACTGGCTTGAAGAAATACTTTTGATAGGCGACAAAAAATATTGTCAGTGACATATTACAGAAGTATAAATGCGAATCTTTACCTGATCATCTAACCATGTCAACCAGTTGATTAACCCTAAAGATACCACAAGTATTCGGAGTTTGACAGTGCCTTAAAAAGTAACACCTTTTACAATCGAGATATGCCAAACCAATCAAATCAGAAGTCAAAAGTGAAGAGGTTCGAAGATATATTTGATAGAATATCAATATATCGGGAAATGGTCAATCTAAGCTGGCCAGCGGTTGTGGGAGATGTTGTAGCGTGGTGTCGAGTTGAGCTTGACTATGAACACCGCTACCAGACTACATGCCAATTAACCAATAAGATCCCCATAGGCCAATATCAGAAGACAGATGATGGCTGTAGTCGAGATGTATTTGTTGGCGATCTCGTGGTATCGAAAGAATACCGAGATCGTGTCAAAGGAGTACAAGCGCGGTTACTGTGCGTAACCGAATTCGTACAAGTTCAGAGTCAACGGGAGAGTAAGTGAGTATAATGGCTGTCATTGGCACAGTTAAACAAACGAGCAAAGTAAAACAGTTACTGGTACAATTGGTTATAATAATAATTGTTTTCATCGAACCAATCGCGTTCTGTTGACAAAAGTAGGTCACTACAATGTAATGCACGGCGTACCCGCTCATGACCTGGTTCAGACGCATGAACGAGCGTATTCGGCTAGGTGAGCCCACTAAGACTGATGTGGTTAGCATCAAGTATGGAAGACTTACAGAGCTATTGATTTCGGGAATTTATTTATCTCTACAATCCTCACTGGTCATCCTAGATCCCGACAATCAGTGAAATAGCGTCTAATGTGGAAACGCCTCAGCCTTATAGATTATTTTTCAGGGCGTTCACACTTCTTTCTGGCTCTACATAAGACAGAGAATTTAGAACAGGAAAAAGGAATAGTGGACTGACGACTCAGTAAACGCATCGACATTCAACAGTGGAAGAAATAGCCAGCAGTCAGTAATAACGTAAGCGTAAAATTAGAACAATCCGATAATCGAAAAGGAGTTGGCAGATAAAGGTTCCTAATACATAACATACAAACGAGCTGAAAATAGACAAATCTAAGTCCACCAATAGGGAAGAAGCTAGGTGTGCACACATGTGAGCGCTACTTTTAAAGATTCGAAGTCGGAATGTCGGGTCGGGAAGGTGGTAAGAAAAAGCCCCTAAAGCAGGCAAAGAAGGAATCAAAAGAGTTGGATGAAAGTGATATAGCATTTAAACAGAAAGAAAAAGAAGAGGCAAAGAAATTGAAAGACGCTAGAATATTAGCCGCAAAACATGGCCCAATCGGTCAGGGGAACAAGAAAGTTACGAAAAAGTGAAAATTTGAGAGAAAATCCCTTGTATTTCTGTATATTGTGTGCATCTACAGTAAAAACGTAAACACCATTTTTTACTGACAAAAGAATGTATAAACTGTATTGTCTCTGTGTATTTTAATACACAAAGCCAATGTACGAATTCGTACATAATTCATAATTTACCATACGGTTGTGTTTTGTCACAGTATGTTAATAACTAGTATTGGTTTAGTTTATTTATTTAGACACATTAACATTGGTGCAAGGGGACGCCAAATATATATGCACCACACAATCCATTCTATTTGTGTGAGGGCTGGAATGCTACGCAGGTGCCCAAACCGACGTAGATGGTTTTCTTATAGGGACACCCCCTAAGCCTTTGATCTAGATGTCTGGTCCACAACTCAGTGGAGTGACGTCAGTAGATGTAGTCTCATGGTAGTCGGTAGCTAACAATAGGTTCATACTCTATTTGTTCCCCCAGGATCATGGAGCCCATGTGCACCATTGGCTTGGAATCAGGGTTTTCCAGATTCGTTAGATGGATCCTCCATATCCACCAACTCGGTCGTGGTGCCAGGTATTCTTTTTCCGTCCTTCCAACTTCGCAAAGTCACCACCGCCGCGGGAAGGTAGTGAGTAGTACTTCCATAACTGTGTGTACGCGTGACCATGTGAGAGCATATTGAGAGGGTGAGCTGACTCCATCGACCCCTGCCGTACCAGGGTACTTGGAAGCAGTAATTGGTATTCATATTGTTAATTTTTTCGTCGTGTTTCTGTGTAAAAGTTATTACTTGTCTCAAAATGCAAAATGTTCCGTCTGTATTTTTGCCTTTCGGTATTTGTAACTTTGCTCTTTCTAATGTACCTTAACGACCCCTGGTAACGTATATCTTCCGAAATACTTCTTTCTGATAATGTTAAGCTATTGGAAACGTTTTGTAGCTGGAAGATCTGTTAATGCTTCGTGATGATCTAATTTGTTTCGGAGGTCAGGAAATTAACGACGGATTAGCTGTCAACTTCGTAGAGTAGTTTGTCTGTGGGATGTTGTGAACCATACATCATCCAGATGTTTCAGCAGGGCTGTCTTGCTCCCTTACTATCTAGAACCGTACTCCGGCGAAAATGGCTTTGGAGCTTATATTTCACTAGTAACCTTGAAGAACATACTAACCGGTTTAACAGTGTGAATGCATGTCTGATTTTTAGTTCGCCTCTGAGTTCGGAAAGGTATTTCTCACCCACTTTGCGAGGATAATACTACTTCAGAGCGCACCATTAGGTCAAATTGAGTTTCAAAGCTCAAATTGTACCAAGAATCTCCAAAATCATTTTCTCATTTAGTGTAAGATAGTAGTGATCTCATAATAACCTATAGTATCGTTAATGTCCTTGGACATCACATCAAACACAAGTTCGCTCTGTACATGGACTTGAGAGGGTCTGCTGAGAATGTAGGAGAGATGCACAACAGTTCGAAGTGTAGTCACTAACTGCCATTTAAGAATAGTCAGTGGTTAGAATTCTTTACCGTTCGGACTGGTACAAGAGACTTATTTAAGAGATGTTCTCTCGACTTCGCATTTTTTTTTACCTCATTTTGATTTACCAAGAATTTGACTTCTGCCGAGTCCTACGTTGATGCTCAACTGATATGAAAATGTAGGATGTTCTTAGGTTTTCGTAAATCCATTTTCAAATGGTTCACATTTTATAACTGACGACTAGTTACCCGCATCCAGTACTACAAATTCGGACTGGCGAGTAAGTTGCCATAAATCTTCTTGGTCTCTACAATTGAGTGCCATATGTATTGTCCAAATCCGTGTAGTTTAGGTAGTGATCCAGTGTGTTGACGGGACCAATTGGGGCCACCTCTATGGTTAACTCGTCTTACAACCACTGCTGTTTCCAAAAATAAATTTCCTCAAAACCTAACTGAGTACTTCTTGACCACGTGCAAATAAACTAAAACTCCACAGAAGTTAGTGCAGTAGTTTTCAGAGACCTTGTTCCTCATAGGTTTTGTTCAAACATACGACAGCCATACTAGCTTTCAACAATATTGAGCTCATAAAACAGTCGCGAATATGTTTCTTACAGTCGATACTAATCTTCGATCAATTTCGCTGTAGCAACATTTACTGGGAGCTAAACATTGCTTGGTATCACTGGAAGGTCATTTTCCCTACGGCACAAACCTTGGTGACAGTACAATAACATGACAATCCATGTAAATTGTGTTCCTTCCGAACATTGGCTATTAGTCGAAAAGATATACCCCGCCTGTGATTGCAAGAATACTCACTTCTCAAACTTTCCTTTACAAAGCAGATGTGCTGCCAAAAGACCTTTATTTGCCTATATGAAAGTGGAAACGCTGGTTCCAGACTTGAGTCTCGTGTACAGAGCCAGGATCATGTCAACAATGGTAAAAGAATAAGTAGTTTGGCCTTTTCCTTTCCAGTTTAGCCATAGAGCATCAGTTGGCATCCAATGTTATGTAGGGGCGTGATACATACCTTGGAGAAGTAAGTGAACAAACTACGCTACTAAATACTCCAAATTAATTTATCCTGCTAAGTGGACTTAGCACACATTTACAGTCAACACGCAGTGAAGTACATTCGTAACATATAGTGGCACATAATCCTACCGTTAGGCGTGAAAAAAGATGTAGCAAACAATATTATTCAATACTGAATTGATAAAATTGTTTGAGGACGATGATGAATGCTTTTACCTGCAATTATACAGCTAACTCTTGATTATTGGACTTATTGATAGTAAGGTGACTAGTCTCGTAAACAACTTGACATCGTTTTTGGTTACGAGAAGGAAAAATGCAGTCAGTGTCAAGAAGACCTGTCCATGTGTAAAATGTATTGATACAAAATAACATTATATACATAGTCGACCCTTATTCAATACTAATATTTGTTTCATTAGCGCCTTTTATTAACCTTGGATCGGCAATTTAGTTTCCTTAGATCTTGGCTATTACCTCCAGAACTTCTACCAGGTCGCTGGTCACGGATTTCTTTGTAAAATTGACGACCTGCACGATTTTTCTGACGTCGTATAGCTCTGTCCATACTTCTTTTTTGCCTTGATGTCAAGATCTGGACTGATTCCTTTGAAGTTATTACGGCTTTAACATTATCATCATTAGTGTTTAGATCGTAGTTGAGTATGTTACTTGATTCCAACTCTCCATCACTCTAAAATAATACAGAAAACAAAACGTTGATCAAGATAAAAATATAGGTGAGGGGTAAGGACGAAATTCTTGATGTAGTATAAACAGGGCAGCTGAACGACGTGGAAATCGACACGATCCGTATGACAAATACATATAATGCTACTACATTAGTTTAACAGTAGCAAAACTCTAGGATATTCTCCGCACATTGTACTAATAAAAGCGGTAACTATGATAAGTATTTCCCAAAAGCCGATAGCGGGAAACTAATAAGATTCAGTAACAGCAACCATAGGTAGTCATTCGAGTTAATTGTTTTAAAAGTAAATTATGATGTGAATGTATTAAGACACGTGATTCCTAAAGTGACATCGTTTTGAGCCAAAGGATTCGTCGAAATAAATAAGTTAGATAAAAATACAATACAGGTGAAGGTAGGTAGTGATTCCCTTACAAACAATAAATTTTACGAAGCTACTTCATACAATTTATAGTTTTTTTCAGACGAGTCATTAAACTACCTAGTGAAAGCTGACAATAGGGAAATTGGACTTACACAGTCTGTCTCAGATAGATCTTCTGCGAAACCGGTGTCAGTAGAAGAAATCACATCAGTAATGGATTGATCCTTATCTGATACATCCACTGATAAGTCCTATTAATCAGAACAAAATAATTTGAACAAGGCAAATATATTACAGAATGACACCAAATGTTAACAGTATGAGGTTACTTTATTAACTAAATCACAAATACCGTCTCTGCTATAGCATAACTGTTATAACTTACAAGCCTACATTAGGTTTCACGGGTATTTCATCAACAGTAATTGACAAAAGCCCACTTATCTCTATGGGTAATTGAAATTATACTCAGGCTTCGTGTTTCCCATTGTATCCGTTACAACTAGTTCTTTCTTTCAACTGATTTTTATAACAGGGAGCGGAATAGTTAGTAGATTGTTATTTGATTATTTCATTGAGATTCATAGTACGACATTTCTTATTAGTTTTTTGACGTTTATTTGGTTTTTGTACTTCAGGTAGGAAAAACTGTATATAAGTTTGAAAGCTCCTTAGCATCACTTCGTTTAAATAAAATACCGGATGTAATTCGAGACTAGTAGCCTGCTTTTCTTTCTCTCTCTCTCTGGGTTAATAACATTTCATCAGTTTTAATAAAACATAGACTTGCCTTTGTTTTAGTCTGTCCATAATGTCAAGAGTCAGAATACTTATTCAAAACGATAAATTATGCTTTAAAAAATTGCGTTCGATGGTACTATGTATTAAAAGAAGCGAAGGCATGTAGAATAATTTTACTGCAAGTAATATATGTATCAAGTCAGAAAATAGGGTTGATTTGCAACAATACATTTTATGCTTTACTCTCAGTGAAATCCCAATGCATTTGCATTTAGTATCTCCATTACTCACTTGTTAAACACATCACAAAACAGGTTTATTAGTTTATAAAACATAAGATATTCCTGTTTTCCATTACGTACAATCTTCTTGGTTATAACTTCTCACTGTTTTATGTAGAAATGTGGGAATTCGGACACAAACACTGGTCCTTATTTCTACCTTTACTAAGCTGTGAGAAATTACCTATATCAGTGTAAATGCAGAATGTAGTAATAACAAGATATTATTGGGGAACATTTTTTATAATACCTTGATGATTTCTTCTGAGTATTCATCGACATCATTCTGTTTAAGTTCTTCCGCCTCCATAGGTGGCTTGACAAAGTAGGGTAGTCGACCACGTTGAAAGTCATTTAGTACACGCTTAGCAGTGGTGTTTAAATCCGGTTCACCAGCCTAGTTAGTCCGTAAAAAATATATAAAAACAATGTAGGTGGAGAACGAAGTTAGTTTCAACATCGAGTAGATTTTGCATAATCAGTCTACATGTGTGAAATATTCTGCGTAGGTGTAGAGCAATTTTAGAGGGATTTGTGAGAACTTTTGGTACTACTTCAGCGCTTTCACAAGTTTTGATGGTCACTGTTATAAAGAAGGTTATTAGGATTACTTACAATGTTTGAATATTGATGTATGTATGTGAAACTGCTTCAGTATATAACTCCGTGCAATTCGTGCATTGATAGAATTATTACTTGACCGAAATTTTTATCGTCTTATCATTTTTATTATTATAGGACGGTGGTGCTCTAAAAATAACGGGAAGCAGAAACCAATCAACTGGGTTCGTCAGGTATAATGTAAGTGTAACTTTCCACTATGTTTTATGTGCACGAAAATCAAAGTAGATATCATACAGACACAACAGACTATAATAATTTTAAGCTTAGTGTTAAAACAGATAGTCTATACCTACCGATATGTCTTAGTCCGACAATCAATAGCTTCGTAAACTGACAATATGTCTTGGTTTGGCTGCCATTACTGAAAAATTTTTTGTTCTATACTTCAAAATCAAGTGTCATAGTACCATAATCACATTATTAATTAAGGAAAAAATGTTAATTAGCAAGTTAGGCGTCGTAAACGAACAATATTAAGTGACGTGTATCATAAAGGTCGGATTTCATAATAGGTTAGTAAAACTGACTAGACACAACATACAAAATGATAACAATTTTTCAATTACCTTTAGTAATTTACCACTTTGTCGAGCTAAGGTTTCTAAAAATAATTCTGGATAGTCATTCCATAATAAAGGTGTAGTAGAGAATTGTGATAAAGTTGAATTAATATCCTTACTACTTTCATTATTTGTTTCATTATCCGTAATTTGCTTTTGCAAATAATTCTGAACATCGTCAAATGACAATGGTGGTAGATTATACTTGGCTTGTAGAAATTCTGGTTTAACACGTTCCAATACATCACGAATATACAGATCAGGCTGCTGTAAGTACTCTACTCTCACCTAAAGGGAAAAAATCTTAGTGTACAGTGAAGGAACATTGAATTTATAAGCAGTGGGACATAACGTCTAAAACATTTTATGCAATCTCATTTATCGGGTATGTCAAAGCACTGAATTTATTAACTCATTTACCAAGTAGAGCCTCATGCACTTGGCTCCGGAAAGGACAATATTTGTAAAGGCTAGCAGCACTAACAAGTTGCCCAAACTGAGGTGGGTGGAGCGCGGTTTAAGTCTGAAAATTGGTGGATGAAAGTCAAGCAACTTAACAACTGGGTAACTGCTTCATTATTTACAATTATAAATATGTACTTCCGGAGGGTAACTTTACATCGGTTTTCCGGAGAATTAGACACCACTAAAGCTCTACATAATTTCAACAACACATCTCAATTATGTGGCACAACAACATAACTACCTTGATTGGTTGGGGATCTACGACCAAACACGAGTTTTGTACACGAACAAGAAAGATAACCTTCCGAACAGAAATCTATCGCTAGTACGAATGAAGAAGGTTGGGGCGGCCGTCCAGTGCTGCCAGGTTTTTAATGGCAGTTAAACATTGATCGGTTCAAGACTTTAAAGAAAGAGAATAGTTGAGGGCTACAATAAGCTTGGAAATATATAACGATAACCTTGAGATGTGGGTACTGTACAAATAAATGTCAACACGACAATAGAGTGAGAGAAAAGATAAAAGCGATGACTGAATAAAAAATGCTATCTAGTATATGTACTAGATATGGTAATGTAGAGCTTCTACACGTTTGTTTATGTGCATTGATTCTAATGTACCTGCCTATCTTGCTAAGTCATATACAAGGGGAAAGATATGAATAGAGCAAATGGTTTGCATCTGATAGAAAAGCACTTGAAAACCGTTCAGGAGATTTTAATTATTCACTTACACACACATTATATCATCAAAAGATCCACTACTTTCCACACTCCAAACCCTCAATACTCTTAGCAATAGTGTATTATTTCTTCAAAATTCCAGGAAAATGTAATGGAGAACAAGTACAGAATGATAGGCAAACGCTTGGTTGATTACATACATTTTATATTCATTTATTTTAATTCACAAAAATGGCATCACTTACAACTCCTTTCATAACTAATTCTGCTTCAGTATTGCCATCAGGATAGACAACTCCGGGACAATCGATTAAGAATATAGATTTCATTAGAGTAACATACTGCCATACTTTTGTTTCACCAGCCAACGGAGCGACATTGCACACTTTTTTATTTCTTGAAATAGCAAATGTAAAATAAGAGAAAAAACAAAGCAGTATTGATAAGCATTGTGTACTGATGACAGTCTATAGCTTAGAAGTTATACTTAGTAAATTAAGCAGTTGATATAAAAGGTCAGTTTAAGACGATGGCCGAATTAGTTTTTATCCACCAAGTTTGCCTACAGAAAATGTTATACTACACTACTACTTGTTTTTAACCAAGATTAAAATCTTAAGTAATAATCAATTGTCATGTATTTTTAATTGTGGGTTTATTTATTATAAAGTACTTTTTATTTTATCGTTTTGTACTAACACCATGTATGTCAGTAACAGAGACAGAAGTGATTAAAAGCTGATTGAAGAAATTCCTTCATTACAAATGAACTAACGCAATTTAATAAATTGAAAGTGTCGACATGATTATACACTTGTGAATAATTTCGTCGACACGATGTGGCGAATTACTGATGAGAAATCGAATTCGGGTGACACAGTACAAGCGTATACATATATATATATATATATATATATATAATGAGTATATTGTTAAAAAGGTACTTCTGAAAGCAAAAAGACAATACACAACTTACCTAAGAGCATTAATGATGCTACTTTTTCCAACATTTGGATAACCAATGATACCGACTGATATTTGTGGTCGTTCTTTACTATGAAGTGATGCCATTTGCCTTAAAAGACCCATGAGAGCAACTTTACCCAAAGGCTTAGTCATATCAGCGTGGAATATAAGTGTAGGATATTCTTCAGATAAAATGGCTTTCCATCGTTTCTATATGTGGTAAAAGATATAGCAGAAAATTTTTGTCTGAAAAACATATATAAATGCATATATTACCGTTGGCCAGAATAAGAAACCTTGAAATGAGTTAAGTAGATTGCCATTAGTGATTTTGAAAGGCGATGATTAGGTCGAAGGTTATTTCTTCTCACGACACATTAAGATTCCTAGAATTACGGATCGAATAACGAAAAGTATTCCATGGTGAGCTCAATAAATAGATTGCTAGATGGTTCCAAAGGACAATCATGACTAGTACGTTTAGCACAAATCTCAGTGTATAGGCAGACGAACATTAAGTAGCAGAAAAGGGAAACCACTCTATACTTCAAATTGATCAGCATGAAATCTTAACTAATAGTAAAACTAAGTTAGCTCTGAGTCCTAAATCGAACTATTAACATCCATATGTCAGAAGGATAAAATCACACTGTGGACAATTCTTCCCAGGAGTTTTTGGTCATCGACTTTTGACATGATAACAAGTAACTTTTATTACTTATTAAAGGTATAAAAATATTAAGAAAAATTTAATTGAGAAGCGATGAACAGTGGAATTTGGTTATCTCGGTTGTGAGGCAGTTATACACAAGACAACATTCGATGGTGGTTGGAGGTAGTCGACAGGAAACCCTGGACCCGGGTTTCGTGCTACTTGGCACTCGTCAACTAGGTGTACCTGTAATCTTTGAGGGAACTGGTGCTCCCTGGAGGATTCGATCCCGTGTCACCCAGCTTCACAGTCAGAGACAGTAACCTATTGGATACTGGCTCAGTGGTTTAAAAGTTAGGCGCTTATTGTAAGACTTCAAGGTTCAAAGTTCGACCCCATATGAAGCAGTAAGTGCGCACTGTTGGGTAGTCCCATACTAGGATGAAACGGCTGTTCATTGCTTCCTGTTATCGGCTGTTTGTCCAACTAAGCTCAGTTCATGATGCAAAACTATGAAAGTTTTAATGACTACACTCTGATGAACATTCAAGTTATTAACATGATATAACTAACAACAATATCTTTACAGGCTTAAATGTTAACCTTCTCGACCTGATGACACGCTGAACTTAAAGTTATAATCACAAAATGCTATGTGACAGGATTACTTATTCATAGAATATTAGCACACTGGGCTAATTTGTCAGTCAAGATATATCTACCAAAAGTTATGCAGTTATTGAGTTGGATGCAAAAATGCAACTAGATCTATAGGGGGTCAGTGAACACTCAAAAGCAAACCCGATAAATCTAATTTATTTATAAACTATATTGTACTTATTGCTACAGCCATCATTCAAGTGTAGTAATTTGCTGAATTCAGTCAATTGGTTTCAAGTATACTACAAGTGAGTCATAATGGGAATTAATAGTTAGGCACTGAATGAATCTTCAATTAGATATAAACAGTTTAGAATAGAATTTTTTCTTAATCTAGGGTAACAGGTAAAACATTTTAGTTTTGAAAAAAAAGGATAACTGTAAAGTAATTAATTAGCCAATAATAGAATAATCTGGCAGAGTTCTATGGGATTGTTATTACCCGGAAGTAGACAATAATCAATGGGTTGAACAACTTTATATTCAATAAAAGGGAACTATGGAGGTAATAGTGTAAATATGTTTTATTTATTTGTTTTCCAAGCTTGGGATTGTGAGTTGTTTATTGATCTTAAGTAGTAACAGTTTAACCGAATAACTGGGTAGAATTTAAGTATTTTTTAAAGGGAAATTGGTTCAGACATGTCTGTAATAACTTGTAACAATTTAAGCGTTTAGATTAAAAAATCATCAGATGTATACTTGATGCATTTAACCATATAGATTTTAGTAAAAACTATCCTAGAATAAAGTAACAGAACAACTATGGAACACGTACTTTGAAAAATCCGATGTTTATTTCGGCATTTTATCCTTCTTATCCAATAAATCAAAATTTTTATTTTTATGACGCTTAATTGTCACAACACACTAATAAAAATGACATTATTTCAATGACAATATGGTGTAAGCTAACCTATAACCCAATTTTTGAGTTTGACCGAAGTGTCGAAAAAAATTGCTAATATCTAATTATTCGAGCCCAATGTAGCGATTTTTGTTAGAGCATCGAGTCACAATTTTGCCAACAAAGTATTATTATCAAATATAATAACTAACAGAAATTCAATTTACTGAATAAACGGAATACAGAGCACATTATGCAATATGTAAACAGCGACCAGAGGTATGTGACAAAATAAATTCAGGAGACACATATCAGTATATACCCTTCTAGTTTTCTACAATGTAAAGTTTGACTTCATACATTATCTCCATACTATCATTACCTATCGTCAAAAATCTAGTACACGAGCTGTTCCATGAATCAGAACAACTTTTAAGACTATGTTTATTTCTAGATATTTTATTAATTTTATAATGCGAAACCAATAATATTATCATGATACGAACCGCCTAATGATTAGATACACTTTCAGGGGTTGTATAGTTCAAGATGAAATTTCACTTCGGTAAAACCGGATCATTTTACTAAGACACGCACCAGAAGAATCGCGATAGCATGATTTTTAATAAAGGAGTAAAAGTAGGGAAATAATACATACAACCTACTGTTATCCATACAGGGACTAAATCCACTTTGTTGATAATAAAAATGAAATGTTTATGTGGTTTTTCAGTCTTTAAGTACTTCTCAATATAAGGAGATCGTGTGCCCATCGGATCGCGCGCATCCAAAATGTACAGTACAACATCCGAAGAGTCTAAAACCTAGAAATAACATTCTGACAGTAAAAAATAGTTTAAAACGTCACACAGAAAATACACAAACAGTTGGCATATTTTTAATGTCTAATGATATAATAATACTAAATGAAGTTCATGGAGCGGTGGCCTATTATTTAAAGCATTTCACATTCAGCCATTACGTTTTCGGTCCGAACCCTTCTCTATCTACTTAAGTTTAAACAGCTGGGTAGTAGTATCATTAGCTTTCACATTTAGGGTGTACTTCATACTCAAGTACTTGGTGAAAGAGTTAAATTACTTATTTATAATTAGAAAGAGTTCTGAAACGATTTATTTATTATTATATAAACACGTAACATTGTTACAAAGCGGCAGCCAAAAAGATATGCGCCATACAAAGTGGCTACCATTTATTTTGTGTGTGAGCTGGCATGCTGGTTGGATGTCCAGACCGGAAGGGGGATTTTCTTGAAAGGCCATCCCTGGAAACTTCGACCTAGAGGTCTATTCCACAACACAGTGGAGCAACGATAAGAGAAGTCCCACAGAAGCCGGTGGTCAAAAATAGGTTTATATGTCGTTTGTTCCTATTATATCCCCATGGGAATAATGAATGGTAACTTTTTGGATCCATTTATGGGCCAATACCAATTATTAAGTTATTCCTGATTTATTAATTACAGTCTCCCACATTCACAGCCACTTTTGGCTAAATATTGTACAAATTTTGTTTCCTATTTTATGGTGCGATGTGGTCTGTTTGGTTGGTATATAAACCCAGTATGTTTGAAATAAATGATTCATATTGCAGAGGCTGAGATTGATGTTCTGGACTTAACAGGAAGGGCTAGGTAGGAAGCAAGACCGATAAGGACTCTAGACTGCTTGTACTTGTTTTATGCGTCATTGGTCCGGTCGATAATTCACTGTTTTCTGATTAGCGGTATCATTAGGTCATAAACTAATAGGACGCAGAGTACAAGTTATAACAGTTCCCTCAAGATCCTGAAGCTCATGAGTACCATTGGTTTGGAATCGGGGTTTTTCAACTCCATTAAATGGATCCTCCGTATCCACCAACTTGGTTAAGGCTCCGGCTATTCAGTTTTTGTCCTCCCAATTTAGTGAAAACACTCCCGCCGCGAGAAGGCAATGAGTAGGACTTCTCTGGCAGTGTCTGTAAGCGCGTGACCATGTGAGAGCATTTCGAGAGGGAGAGCTGACTAATCCCACTCTCGGCCATACCAGGGCATATGGCACAAGATATTAGTGATAATAACTTAGCTTTAACTCTTCATATAGCTGAAGCAAGAAGTCTCGAGTTTGAAAACGTACGTAAAAGTTAGTGATAAGTTGACCTGGTTCATATTTGTGCCAAGCTTTATGTTGATTATAACTGACTGACTTGTTAAGTCTAAAAAGTTTCGAACTGAATTTCAAATAATCTATATAACAAACCACCGGATAAATTAATTACATATTACACTACTTTAACGTTCAAGAACTATCCTGAAAATATAAAAAGATATATTCGAATTTAAGAATAAAGGCTTAGTACTTTTCTCCGTTAAATGGGGCATATATCTCCGAGAACAGAGATTAACCTACCGACTACATAAGGATTGTTCTTGTCGGCAGTAACGCAAATACTGTGATGTAGCTATCCAGTATAGGTCAGAATCTGAGAATATACTGTGTACGTATTCTACGATGAATTATGTCAGTGAATGGAATTCTAATTTATGTGCTGAGATTTTATCAAGTGTACAGCAAAATAGTGGTAGTGTGATAAAGCAACATAAAATAAAGATGGGGACTATTGTGATTGCTTTATTATGAATGGTAAGAAAGAACAGATAACACCACTTAAAAATGCCACAGAAAGAAATAATTAACAAGGAGAACAGAAAACAAAATTTCTATTAGCCTGTATCGATGCGAGCAACTTAAACTGATACAAGTTATACATATCTCTTAATAAGTATTTTGCTTTGGATTAGTTAGTGACTAAGCATGAGCACCACCCGAAGTATGTTCTTAAAATATAACTAATCTCTCCCTTAAAACTTAATCCCATATAAAAATGACCATCCGATTGTTCACAATATGTGGGAAACTTTTTAGTCACCGAAATGTTCATTGATTGTGGGAGAAGTGAGAATAATGTATGAATGAAATAGAATTATGTAGAAAGTCTTATAACAACCAAAACAAGATAATTGGGTGAAGAAGGAAGTAATGTATCGTTTTCTGTACTTAAGTACATCTCAGTTTACTAACTCATTAATAAGAAACTGTTTTCTTGTTACTTTATCTCATATGGCCAGTCTTTCCAACTCAGTGGTCTTGAGTCTTGTTAGAAGTATAAGGGCAATTACCACTTCCCGGTTGCCCACATTGTGGGAGGGTTCTCTGAAGGTACCTGAAAAAATATCGGGTTACGAGTGGTCTTAGTGACCTGAGAGTGTGGCCGCAGTGCCCAAGGGAGAACTGCTTAAGGTCGGTCACACACGACATTGTTGTGGGTAATTTTCGTGTTAAATTCGTGCTTTACCGCCGGAGACGGATATCCGTGGGATAAGGCGAGGTGTGCATTTTTAGGGGCGGCCCTTTATAAGCCCAACCCTCCTTGTGGGAAGACAGCGCCGCTATTATGCTGGTTTGAAGGAAACACCTTACTTCCGTCACACCTCTGTATAGTCAGCAGTACGACTTCGACCTCGGACCTTGGGTTTTCTGCTTTTAGTTTTACCGAACTTCAACCGACCTGTCTGGCAGGGTAGGACCTTGAGGAACGATTGTTCCAGTTAGTATACCTCAGTTGGTTCATTACGGTAGGTAAGCCCGAACATCACGTCAAGGTAGTAGCAACGGTAGGGCTTTCCGACTGGAAATCACGAATAGAAGTCGGTAGTTGGTCTCAGGATGGTGCAGAACAAACGTTAGTGACATAGACGTGATGCCCTGGTACGGCCGAGAGTGGGGGGAGTCAGCTCCTCCTCTTGAAATGCTTTCATATGGCCACGCGTATACAGCCTTTGCCAGGGAAGTCCTACTCACTGCCTTCTCGTGGCATTACTGTTGTTTACGAAAATGAGAGGACGAAAAGCGAACGTCCGGCGCTATAACCGGATCCCAATTCTATGGTGCACATGGGCTCCAGTATCCTTAACGAACAAATGGCGTATGAACCAACTTTCGGTCACCGGCTTCCATGGGACTGCATCTCCTCACGATGCTCCACTGCCTTGTGGACTAGACCTTTAGGTCAAAGGCTCGGGGTGTGGCCCACTAAGAAAACCACCTGCTTCGGTTTGGGCACCCGGGCAGTATCACAGCCCTCACACTTATCAAATGAGATCTGTGTGGCGCATATATATTTGGTGTCTTCTTGTACCGATATTTATGTGTTAAAACAAACAAACAAAAACAAAGACGTGATGTTCCTGTTTATTCCGAGACATTGATACTGTTCGTATAGTTTCTTTCTAATGTTTCGAATTGTGCTAGATCACATTAATGTACTGATAATTCTTACTGTGCACTGTAAGTAGTGATGCTTTAGGATTATGAAATAGACTAAATTAGCTTTATTGTCGCAAAAAATATAAATCTATAGTTAATGGGGCTTTAAAATAAACTAACAAGTTGAATGTTATATAATAGTTAAATGCCTTGGAAACTTGCCTTAAATAACTCATTCCATAGTCTCTTCGATCGACCAGCTTTGAAGTGAGGATCCTGTGTTAATTCTCGGACACCATCATCACATCGAACCATATGTTTATCATCCGTCGAGTTATACAAATACTGATTTGACTCAGCATGTTGTACAAGTGACTAAAGAACACGGAAATATTAAGTTGTTTGACGTGTGTACTATTGAAGGGGTGAAAAATGATTTGACGAAAATTACATGAATGCAATCAAGTCCGTCGATGTGGTCACGAACGATACAAAGTAAATCAAGAAATTATTTGCTTTCTACTTTTATTGGGGGATTTCATGATATTCTAACAAACAGATAGTTACGTCAAATGATAGCGCTAATAATCATAACATAATCAGTATCTTCGAAACGTTTTGAAAAGCCAACACCAGGGTACTTGTTACAAAAATGTTACCTGTCATTCAATAAACAAGTAGTTAAATGTCTTCTTAACAAAAGATAACACAAGACTTTATATTTCTAATAAATTCTGAAGATCATTTGTATTGACCAGAACAAAATTAGTAATTGATGTACAGTCCAAACATATGTAACAAAGTTAAGTCAAACAGTACTTATTAAGTGTTGCGCCAAAATTCAAAGAATAAAGGTGTCTACCCACCATGAAGTTATTTTCATCAACTGAACTTAATTAGCAACTAAAAATCAACTAGGTCGCTTTCTGTATTAATGGAAATCTTGATTTTATACGAAAGATTTTTAGTGCAATTAAGCACTAAAACATCATAAAAGAGATGGCAATCACCTAAAGAAATGGTAAAGTTATGAAATAGTAACATACACTACCGAACGGTAGCAGTAATTACATCCAGTTGTCAGTGTGTCTTGCACTACAATAAGCAATGACTAACGGAAAACCAAGGTATACCGTTAGATTGAGGGGACCAGACTTTATTAGCGTACGGAAAAATTTATGCCTGAAGGGCTGTGATGGTGCCGAATTCGTTTTACACACGCTGCTATTATCATTGCCACTACGATGCCGATACCAATAAAAACAACGGAAATAAGACCTTCCAGTGCTTCCGCCAACAATTAGAATCTTAAGTCTTGGAAACATGAGGCGCCAATTATTAACTGAATACATTCGATTGTGATCACAATATACGGTCCCAGCAACTTTATCAGACAATGGTTTAGGCGATTGCATGTTACTATTTAATGGAACTTGTGCACGTGGGTATTCAGTCATCTGATAAGACCGCAGCATTTAGAGTTATTCAAAGAGCGTTTACTACTTCTCAGGAGATCTATCACAAAAGTAAGACAGTTAACTGTCTAATTAGATTCCAAAAATAGGCAAAGACAGAAATAATTTACCGATAGATCATCAAACTCCAACGAAGGTCTTTTGCGCTGCGCTTTATCCCCAAATACATAGGAGTAGCTCTGCGATGTTAAAAGAGCACTTTTGGTTTTCTACAACATAATATAATACAAGTAAACTAATACCGTCTTCTTTTCATCTAAAAGTGATATAGGCAAGCGAGTCTGACGTAAAATAATTTCGTAGGGATTTCGGATCTTCATTGCTTCTTTGAAACTTTGTAACGTATCTTGACTTATAACACGTGTATTGCCTAAATACGCCTATCGGTTGCAATAGCCAACCTACCAAACCATCGTCTATTAGGCTCAACCCGTGCAACTGTACCGGAGGGTAGAGTTGATTGAAAAGGTGCAGGGCGAACTATTTTCCCATTTTTGTTCCTACGTCAACATCGTACAAGTAAGCCATACAAACCTTTTGGCCTTGAAATTACGGTACATATTAAGTCGCTTAATAGTAGCCTTAGTTCGCATTGTACTACCCTTGGGCTGTTTTTCTCTATCTACACAAATAAAGCATTTTATTTTACACATTACCTGGGTTAAGTGAGTGCTTTGCATGACTAATAGCGTTCTTAAATTTACAGCTGACCATGTTTTGATGTAGTCCACGTAACGCGATATTTTAAGAAACCCTCCCTCTAAGTTACAACCTATTTGTGAGAAAGCATGCATATAGTGATCATTTATTGTAGATATTTTCTGTCAGTTAATCATATTTGTATATGTAAAGTTTCGTTAATATCTATAACCAGTCCATATGTACTATTATTATCGATTTTCACATTCCTCAACTGATCCTGATTTAAAAGTATCTGGATAATCAAACTGATTTTCTCTGAGCTCACGCAGCATCTGAGTGATTGCACAGCATGGTAAGATACATGCAATGCAACAGTCCAAACATATTGATCCACGTATCCCACGTCTGCGTCGAAACGATTTTCTGGAACACCCTAAAATGGGACCCCAGCAACAACATGAGAGTATTGACATGATATAAGCATATAGGTACGAAAAGGGACGCCGAATTCTGGTTGTGTCTCTGACTATTTCTTCAATTGCACATATTGGCATAAGACAAATAAAACAAAGAGTTCCATAGCCTTGAGCTGTACAACATGTCCCACATAGACTGTAAATAAATTTTGGAGGTTTGTCAACAGAATCACCAATTTCTCCCATGTAAACGTTAGTTATCAGTGCAGAAATCTCACTGACTTCTCGAAGTTAATTACTCAGGTACATTCACACAGCTCGTATTTGTAAATGGAATTCTATAAAGGTTTAAAAAATGGGTCGATAAACGTTGATTTGAAATATTTTACCTCACGTGACCGCGGCTGTTAACTCTATATCTGACTTATATTGAGTTTATATAGCTTAGGCGAGGCGTAATGTACCAACCTCATCTGTGAAATTATGCAGCATTATTCAAGACCATTGCGATTTCTGTTCTTCCGTATGACTGCTCGATGTATTCTTGTATAAGTGCATATATTCAACGATTCTCGTTATCTGAATTTTAATGATGATGAGAGCATAAAGAAACGACCTAAATATCTAAAAATCCTAGTCACTTAAAACTGTATAGCATTTAGAATTGTTGCCAGACTTTTGACCACATGTTTGTAGTGATTATATGGATATATAAAGACAGCAGGTTTGTTTGGTGATAGGTTTGAAGAAACTGAACGCTTACTATCTATTTTCAAAAGTTTTTCGTCATCACACTCAATAGACGCTGATATTAACCAGTTAATTAAACCAGATTAAATGTGGGACTGGCTATTGTTGAACTCATCCAAGGCTTTCTAATGGATATCACAGTCTGTGTGCTTCTCATCATTGCTTTTTTCTAGGTAGGCTTTGTAACACGAAGCAGTTAACCGTGTGCAAATGCAACATGATATCGACAATGCGCAAATTTCGTGGGTAAATATCTCTTCTAAACTTCTGCAAATCTTTTGAGAAAATCATGAACTCCTTTATTTTGAGTTTAAATCTTAGAGTATAAGTCGATCTCTGCTTAAGTAACAAGTCCACCGAAAACCGTCAGAATTTGCTCTGTAATGCAGGATTCATAGTTTAAATGAGTCAAGAGTAAATTCTGTTTTCAAGACAATTTTTTTGTTGTGCCTGGATATAATCTATCGGCTAATCTGTCTCTTCAATCCCTGCAAATCAATCTGACGGCTGCCAGGACCAGATGGCAGTTAAAAAACGTAGATGTGGCTCAGGAAAAACATGGGAATTCAGTGAAAACGTAAGGAAAATAAAACACAATGAAGTGTGTAAGGTGCGATCTCAACCGAAATCAAAACACTAAGTGTACATTTTAGGGAATCGGGAGGGATAAAATGCAGCAATGTGAAGGGGTGTTAGATGGTGGTTGGAAGTAGTTAACAGGAAACCCTAGACCCAGGTTTCGTGCTACTTGGCACTCGTCAGCAAGGTGTGCCTGTTACCTTAAAAAGAATGTTGGTCCCTGACCGATTCAACCTCGTGTTACCCAGGTTCACAGTCAGAGACGTTATCATTGGTTTATCCGGGCAGCGATCGACCTCTTGCAGGGCTGAAATGTAATCACAATTGATAGATCACTGAGTGGTAATCAACGTCATGTGTGTCAAGTCCTTCTTGGTGCAGATCGAATGCTATCGACCAAGTTACAATGTGGCCACTAAGTCTCTGACTGAAGGCGTTTGCAAGAAGTGATATTTCTGCAGTATTTGGTGTCCTATTTAAAGAATACATGCAACAAGTAATTCATTGACTGTTTTATTACCGAGTTATTCTGAAGTCCATCATGTGTATGAACTCGTGTTTTCCCATTTTTAGCTGGACATGTGGTCTAGTTGTTGCTATTTAGTGTTGATCACTTACGGGGTACTTAACTGTAGCTTGTGGAGCTTGTAGTATTTGTAAAGCATGGGCTGGAAGTTAGAGCCAACCATAGTTTTGAATCGATAACGAAATAACCTACAAACAAACGCAGAGCTTTCTAAACAAATGTTTTTATGCCTTAACTCACCACTCCTCATTTGCATGGGTCAGTAAGTGGGTTGGAATGCTGTATCGGAATCTGTGTCAATGGTAGAAGTCAATAAATACATATCGGCACAGACTCAGTGCATGAATTTACTCAAATTCACGTCCATATAGGTAGATTATTCGTGTTATATCTTGTGATTGGCCTATTAGAGAGCAGCGAGTTATCGATCGGACCATAGACGCGTAAAACACGTAAGAGTAGCCTAGAGTTCTGATTGGTCCTGCTTTCTGTCTAGACCAGCCAGTTGAGTCTAGAACACAAGTCTCAGCCTCGGAGATATGAATCACTATATTTCAAACAAACTGAGCACATATACTGATCAAACAGACCACAACGTACCAGTAAAATATGAAACAACATTTGTATAATAATTAGCCAGATGTTGCTGTGAATGAGGGAGATATCAATCAATAAACAGGCCATAACTCAAGAATGGTAAATCGTATAATAATATTTCATAGGTCAAAATAAAACTCACAATAAGAAGAACATGAATATGAACAGATTAGTTGCATAACAATTATACAATAAAAATATACTCATAATATCGGTCCATAAATGGATCCCAAAAATTACCATTCATTATTCGTATTGGGATATAACAATTCGCTTTACTTGAAGATTGGATCGTAATGTGATTCACATTGATGACTTAATTGATATTTTCAATGATCCATTTTGGCGCTGCGTCCTTGATTATTATTAATATTATTATCCACAAACATCTAATTGGTACATATGTGTTTTGAAGTAGCCATTTTGGGTCCTTTCAAAATGCAATAATACACAAGTTTCAATAATGTTGGCTCTATATTTGCCACATTTAAAATAGAAAAGAAGAAAAAGGAATGATAATAGAGTAATAATAAATCAGGTCTGTGTAATTGAAGAAAATACTAAGTTGACTTTAACAAGAGGGATAAAATAAGGGAACAAGAATGAAAAAACGTGAAATACATAGATACTTTATTAATCGTGTTTGTTAACACAAAACAAATATAAACGACTAAGCACGTATAGCCTAATGAATAACGAAAATAAAAAGATAAGTAAAATTAAACAAAAATAGAAAATAAGATATGACTAAAGAATAAGTGTTCGTGCAGTCGTAGTTTAATGTGATGCTATGGAAGTTTCAATTAAGTGCAAAGGATAACCATTATCAATATTTATGAGTCATATTTACATAGGGAAGATAAAAAGAGTCCGAGAAGTTAATTTAGGTGTAACACAAGATGGTATCTTAATTAAAAGCTTTGGAATCTTAAGAATAATGTTTATTTAGGAGGAGAAGTGATGGCGAAAGGAAATGAACACCTAACTAAATGGTTCAACCATGATAATAAGTGTAATAAATAACGACCTCTGAAGCAAACCATCAATTTTTTAGTTTTTTAACCTACTCGGGTGAATACAGGTAGATAAGATACACGGTAAAACTTGATATTAGTGTAAAATTTTATGCAATAATAATTTAGAATGATGTTATACAGGTCACAATTGATTGCAGAGGAAAATCAACTACAAATTTCTTCGTGTTATATATGTGGTGAGGATAAAATGAATCTGAGTTTTTAAGTGTAACATAGGATAATTTGTTTTTAGTTATAGACTTTGGATGTTTAGGAATATAATATGTTTAGAAGGAAAAGAAGGGGCAAAAAGAGTGTCTAATGTAATTAGGGACCAATCGTACTTATAATGATGATCATAAATATGAACATTAGCAAACTTCAGATATTAAGATGAATGGAAAGAATATAAGATAAACGATAAAAAGTTCCAATGTTCTTCTTTGCTTTTCAGTCGACTAGATAGATGATGGACCTTGTTTGTATAAATCATTGTTAAACACGTTGATATTCAATAGATGACACAATCTACTTTCGGAAAGAAAATCATTAAGGAGACTTTTGAACCGGGTTATAGTTTAGGAAGTCTCTACTACCATATTTCATGGATGATGAAGGAATCCCATTCACAAAGTTTCAACTAACTTGTTATATCGACCTTGTACTAAAGTCAAACCCCATATAATGCTTGAGAGAATGAAATCACCTCCAACGATTTTAAACACATGCGGTTGGTGTGAAGTAATAAAAAATATGTTTTTCAGAAATTTATCAAATTTAATATCCGCGTGAGGTGGTCTGCATAGCATCCCACCAATAGATAATTTTGCGACCCCCAATTAACGGTAAACCAAGTGGAGTCATCTATGGCATCAAGAGGTTCATTCTCAAATTTGTATGCCTAAATGTCAGAACGGACATAGATAGTTGTACCGCCTCTTGTCCTATGACATCTATGTGTCCGAAAGAAAACGTAGTTATCTACGTGTAAGGAGTGATTGGACATGGATGATTTGTATCACGTTTCCCTAATAAGTACAATAGTTGGACATACAAAGAATAAAAGGGTTTTAAGAAGAGTAGTTTTATTGAACACAGAGCAGACATTGGAAGAAAGAACAAGGAGATAAGAGGTATCGTGGTGAAGCAGGCTAGAGTATAGATCATAATTGGTAGCTCCATGAATAC